TCGAGGAGATCTGTCGATTCTTCAAGATCGATGAAGGAAGAGCAGAGGAGATCTTTCACCTCATCATGTGGAGATCCGAACGGTTGAGCTGCACCACAAGCAGAAGCCAAGCATCCAAGTGAACACAGATGGATCATGCGAATGTTATGAGGCGTTAATGAATGTCGGCCACATCCAGAACTTCATCGGAACCAGACCACATCTATTCTTGATGACCATGTTTCCCAGTTTCGGCAAGAGTCGATTCGAAATTGCATTCGTGTTCCCGTCCACACATACAAGGAGAGAGAGGAAGCCGGAAATATTGTCCCTGGTCACAGATGGATCGACGGACTGACATCCAACTCAGCAACGAGAGCCCTCCGTGGGAATGGACATGAGTTCTGTCACGACGATGAAATGGAGATGTACATTCGAAGCAGGAGTGGCCACTCACGGGATGTCGATATCAAGACCATGGGCAGACCCCTGTATCCAGAGCAGTCAGACCAAGAGCAGCCGCAACATGATGAGCCGAGTTATGACATTCCCCGATCATCGCCTCATAAGAGCGAGCATTCTTGCAAGTATGCCGATTCGAGGGAAGATGAAGCCCGTCATCCAGAGAAATACAGAATGCGACGACCGGCACCCGACTCCATTGAGGAAGAGAAGAGGATTCGGCCTTTCGCTAAACATCCGATGACTTTCATGTTCCATGCGACCTACCAAGATCAACTTCACAGTATCTTGGAACAAGGATTGAAGCCAGGAAAGACCGAAACCCCTCGTGGGAGAGTGCACAATCATCTGGCATGCATCGACGATATCCTCTATCTCGATGACCCATCCGATGATGCACTGACTCATGCACCTGCCGGACGCAATGCATTGCTGATTTTTGGGTTCACCAAGGGCAACCATCACGGACTCCGACTCGTCGACATTCGAACTGCTCTGACCAGTGAGGTCATTCCATCGACAGACATTATTGCTTCTTTTTTTTTTTAACCCGATGCGGCGTTCCACGTCGAGCGTGCGTCCACAATGAGTAAGGTACACGAAAGGTTGTACAAGTGAAACAAGGGAGGAGGTGAAAACCGGCAAAAGATAATTGTAAGCAAGGCCTCAATCTACATGTCGCACCAACAAACGAGAAAACACCACAGCCAAACCAAAAGGCAAAAACACCACACACACACAACAGAACCAGGAGAGCAGACACATGCGAGGCCAAGAAAAATTCTCCACAGTGGAGCAGCGCAACCATCGACAGACATTATTGCATCATACGACATGACCGGCGCTCTCATCCAACAGAGTTTTTGGAAGATGAGAAGGAATCTCAACAAAGAAGATGCTGAACAATGCGAAAGCAAGATTGACGAGTTCGCCAAGGCCTTCTTCAAGAAAGCAAATCAAGAAGAACCATCTCGATCAGGAGTAGACTCAGAGATGAGATCAAGCGAGAACAAGCGAAGGCGACATGAAGACGATCAGCACAAGGAAGAGGATCGATCCGAAGGCGAACCGATGATTGCATTCGACCAAAAGGTCGAACTCATATTCCCGAAAGATTATGACATCAAGGACTTCCTCAAGGACTTCAAAGATGTGAGCATTGATCAATCGATGACGAAAGAACAAGGAGAAGCTGAGATGCAAGATATGCGATCCAACTTCAAGGAACTCATGAAGACCTACTCCAAGGAAAGAAAGCAATCAAGGAGTTTGGCGAAGCACAGGTTCGATCTCTCAGACATATCAATCCAGATGAGAACTTTGCGGAAGATGAACATTACTATGTCAGTGAGAATCCGAGTGCGCCAACCATGGAGGAGTTCCTCAAAGAGCAGCATCCATCCGGCTATCCGATTCGATTGCCAATCAGTATCAAGGCTCTCAGGACCCACAGCGAAGAGAAGACAATCAAGACACATACGAATATCTTGAAATCCCTGATGCAGTCCACGAAGAAGTTGGAAGGTGAAGCATTCGACTCACAAAGTTTCCATTCGACTCGACACCTCAACGTGCTCACGCTGAATCATGGAAACTACACTAAGGCTCCCAAGCTCAACAACGCACACATCCTATGCTTAGATGAAATCGATGTGATGCTTTATCCCGAAGATCCGAAGACCAAAGACCTCATCAAACTGCTCATTCGCAACGGATTCAAGGGCATTGCGATTAAGCTATGGTCCGCCAAGGCGATTGGATGCTTCGTGAGAGGAGGCCAGCATGCGAGAGTCGAGCTATTGGCACGTTACATTTCGACGCGATCCCAACGCTGGGGCACAACATTCGGTATGTTCAGATGCTTCTATGGTCTCGAAGATGAACAATCCGATCCATCATACGATTATCCGACCCCAGATTGCTTGGCCACAACAGGACCCGATATGTTCGTGCACAACAAGGGAAATTACATCGGTCATCGACTTCCGCCACGCACAGATGTCAAGGGATACGGCAAGAACAAAGAAATCATCGTCATTCAAATTGAAGAGAACGATGAGCTACGTGGCGCATTTCCTCAATCCAACGAATTTCCACCGAAGACATTCGATACACGACACCTTACACGCGCAGGACTTCCATTTGCGACTGTTGGCGTCTTCCACATCCATCCGAGCTTGAGCCATGGAGCAGCACGGGAAGATTTCCAAGAAGGCACCATGCCATATGTGGCTGAGTACCAAGCGGATCTCATCACAGGCGATGCGAATCAGTCAGCAAACACATTCGCGAAGTGGCAGAAGGTGTATCTTCCAGACAATAGTTTGATGCACAACATCATGCAAAAGTTCAAGGAGACCTGGAATAAGCCAGATGATACTCTACCTATCTGTGAGCGATTGGAGGTATCCGAAGAATCGTCCAGCACCTTGAAGTCCATTGTCCGGCACCACCTCTATACGAAGACAGGATCCGGATACGATCGGACATTTCCAGATTGCATGGTGACATATGTATTCCACTGGGGAAACTCGGGAACAGCTCGAACACCGAGAAGACGAAGAACAAAAGATGTCGAACCAAGATATCCAGGATGCGAAGCAAGATCCATCTTTCACAATCCAAGATTACAAAGTGATGTCTTCAGAGAAGCTCAAGCACATCAATAACGAGATGCTGATGAACGGCAAGTGCGACCAAGACTCACACAGTCCATTGATGGTGCATATCAAGAGCCGATCCGAAGAAAAGAAGCGTGATACGGCCCGAGTTGTGGAGCATCACAAGAAGCGATGGAACGCATCCTCATCCAGCAATCCATCCAAGAACTACAACAAGGCAACTTCAGAAGGATGGGAAGACTGGAGCGAACGATACTGGACCAGTGACAAGAACTATTCCGGCCAGTGCTACAACCAGTGGAAAAAGTACGACTGATCAAACCCTTCATGGGAATGCAATTGATCCTACGGAATCAGAATTTTGCGATCAGCAAAAATTACCAACCTCGAAGACGATAACACCGACCACACCAAGCCGATCCGAAATTCCATATCGATCCGAAATGATTGGTCTACATCCTCTACACGGATATGCTCTGAGAGACCAATAGTTTCACCTGCGTCAAGCACGTGTAAATATATTTGATGCAATTAGGCATCCAGAGTTTCAATCTTGCCAACATCAATACGCACAGCATGATTCATCCAGCAGAAAAGAGGATGAATGTATTTTTGAATAAATGGCTACGGAAAGCCCAACACGTGTAAAGGCTACGGCCAAAGGCCGAGAAGTCAAATGATTCTACAGTAATTCATGCTGGAAGCTAAAAGAAATTTGTGTATGTGTTTGTTCCTGTTTTGTGAACCACATTAGCTTCCATGCAATTCATTCATACTGTTTACATTTTGGCTCAAGGCCCTTTTGTCCAACATTGTACACTAGAGCTATTGCAGAATCCGCTCGCCATCATTCGACAGAAGAAAAGGACATCCGACTGAGCTCCTTTGTGCGGGTATAGAACCAGGGACCTAGTATTGTCATCCGAGCACCCGTTCTCATCATTCGAGGGGATACGGTGCCCTTGGGGTGCGATACACCCCCCCCTCCCCCGAACCCCCCCCCCCGCCCAAAACCGCATACCCGAATTCTGTGCTAAAACCACTGGGCCCAGGTTGGCATTCAAGCCTTTTCAGATGGTTTAACTGATAGTGTCAGACGTGTACTCAGCCTGCCCAAGAGCCCTTGGGTGTCAAGCATGCCCTCGGCCCGCTTCCATTTTCTGGGATGTTCAAGAACTGGCTCCAAGTCCTTTACCCTACTGGGGAACACGTGTAGAAGAGAAACCAAGAGCGGAGCTAATTAGCATTGAACGACCCAGAGTAAAAAGAAATTTGAACTAAGCCCGGCAACTCAAAGGGAGGTTTGTTCCACAGATGTTTCAGCTCTTCTCTCAGCCACTAGATGGGGAATGTGTCAAACCGCGTGGTACCCCTTTTCTCAGAAGGCAGCCGCTCCTTTCCAGAAAACCATCTTTTGGACACACAGGAACCCCACGCATACCCTTTTTATCATGTGTCTCTCTCCCGCCCGCACGTTGCTGCTTAGGAGGATCCCCTCTGCTGGAAGATTTCTAGAGGAAATGGCAACAAAACCCAGCTGCGGTATCAGCCGTTTGCCTGTAAAACACCCTGTAACCGACCGCCTTAAAGAATCGCGTTCAATGGGAGTCCAGCACAATTGGAGCGGGCATCCTTACCCCCACGCTCGCTTGATCAACCCGACTGTGGATGTTGCGCATCTCACCACCTTGAAGTAAAAAAAAAGATCGCCATAGGAAGCCACTGGCATGGCTTCTTACTGCGCGGAACTTCCTTCTTAACTTCTTGCGGTTATGTATATACTTTCAGGATCTGTTGACCGAACCACAGGCCCTCTCCCGCGGTTCCCGGCAACAAAACTCCACAAACAATCCCCCGCAACAGGTCCACGCCAAACAACAAAAAAGCTGAGGACGCCATTCCCCAGAGCCCAAGCCCGAGGAAGTCTACCCTGAGCGCCTCCTTTTTTTGCCCTGGGTGCTGGGGCAAGCGTTCACGCAGAACGACCTGGGCCCGCGCTGCTCGTGGCGCCACGCAAGAAGCCAACAACTGAGGATTAGTTGCTGCACTGGGTTGACAAGCACATGCGCTTGCGAAAAAAGTCAGAGGGGTTTGAATGGGCTCAGGGGAAAAACCCTGTTTCTGTATAATAGAAAGTGATGAAGTCCTAAGATCCAACGCAACAGTCAGAGAGGCCCCGGCCAAGAATCCATGACGGCTGGGAAAATCAAAAACAGACAGACCGCAAAAACTTGAGGGAACGGGGGGATGACCCCGCTAATCAACTGCCCTATGGCATTTCCAGCGCATACCCCTGGCGAGGTTCGTTCCATTCACCAGCCGCTACGAACAGCCAAGGGAAGGTTTGTTTGAGAAAAAAACTTTGGGGGGTCCGCTCTATCAATATCCATGGCCATTCAGGAGGGCCGCCTGAAAAAAGAACCCTCCCCGGCGCCCTTCCCCTCAGCTGCGGACCTGCCAGAGCTGGAGCCGGGTCACTTGCGCCTCCGCAGCCACCGCTTTTTCGGCGAAGAGATGAAACAAAATGAGCCCGCCCATCCCCACCCCCCCACCCTCGCCCAGAAGCCGCAAATCGAACGCCCTGATTGGTGGAGAAGCAACAGAATGCAGCGAGTGAGCAAAAATAGCCTACGGCATCCTATAAGGCCCCAAGTCTTCCACTGCACACTCGAATAAGCCTTTTGGCTCTTCAGGCATGGCCATCCCAGCCTGCAAGAGGGTCACTCGGCCTTCCTGCTCCAGCAAAACCTGACGCGCCAACAACCAAGGCAGGCGTTGCTCCCCGACCACGAAAAATTGCCACTGACCAGCCAGCCATCCGCTTGCTTCTAAGTACAGAACCCAGATTGGGGAAGTCCTTTGCCTTTCCCTTCCCAATAGGACCCGTCAGCACACTCAACTGAACAAGGCTCTGGAACACGCCGATCGAACGACCAGCAGGAAAACCACGTGGGAGCTGCGCGCTTGTGTGTGTGTGCGCGCGTTGTGTCTTGTGTCTTGTGTCTTGTGTCGCGCGTGTGCGCTGCGCGCAGTGAGTGGCACGTTGCGTGGCCCGCCGCAGCCGTGATGGCCTGGAAGGCAAGGCTGTGCGCCGCCCTCAACACCTGAGCCAAGGAAAACGGACCGGCTCGGCATCCCGCGGTGGCCTGGCATTGGTTGAACACGGACAGGGCCCTGGTTGAAGAGGTAGCTTAAGCATCTACAGTACAAAATCTGCCCTGGCTATTGACATCATAGGTGTCAATTTGCTTGATTACCTTGGAAAACAAAGTGTCCTGGTTGGTATGTGATTAATGGGCCTTGGCTATTTTCCAGGCTACTAGGACCAAACGGGCGCTGAAAAGGGCAGGGTAGGCGCGGCTAGGGATGTTTGCTGCTCAGCAGGGATTGGCGCCCGCCACATCTTTGAGGGGGCGCCTAAGCAGGCATTTGCGCTTACCCATTTCGAAGTCTATAAGGACTTGTAAAAAGGGATCACCAAGGGAAAACACAACCACTTTGGGGGCACATCAGCAAGGACAAGGCCATTCCTGTGAAAGATCACTTGGCAACCACTTGACAACAGCGACCCCTCTCTTCTCGCAAGCGCATTCCCTCTCGGAAAATGCACAATACCACTGGCTTTCTTGTGGACTCTGCCACCGGCCGTTCTGTGGCCCACTTCCCCCACTCCATTTCCAGGCTTCGTCTTTTCCAGAATTCGCTCAAAAGAAACTCAGGGAAAATTGCCAGTTCGGGAAGCAATGATAGGTGAAAAGAATGGGGCAGCTCCCGCTCGCGCTTGGTTTTCCAGATGAGGCCATGCCCAGACTCGGCACACAAAGACTTCCGCTTCAATAGGGGCGGAACAGAGAAGGGGATAGGGAAAGTTTGCCGTTTGCCGGGCTTCCCCAAATTGCCCATTGTTTCAAACTGCCCCTTGCCTTTGGCAGGGCCTTTATGCGGTTTGGCGCGCGCCTGCGCCTCCTCCTCGCTGTGAAAGGGCGCCCTCTTGGTGCACTCCTTCAGCTCAGCCAGGCACGCCTGGGAGCCCGTCGGCTCAAGCGGCTAAGCGGCTGAGCCCGTTGAATGGAGGTGGGGCAAAAGGAAACACAGCGGCGTAAACATGCGCGTGCGTAGTACACGTGACTGGTTGGTTAACAAAGTATCCCGGACGTCAAGGTGAAAAGGCCACGCGGGGCCCGTGTAGCTGAGCTATGGCTCTTCACCACCTCCAAAAGGGCGGTGGACACGAACCCGCGCCCAAACCTGATGTCCACCAAAAAGCACCCGCTTAAGAAGTAGGGGCATCCAGGGAACTCATTCGCCAAGACCCGCATGTTGCCACTTCGACATGGACAAAACACTGTCCTCGAGCTCCGAACGGCTTTGTTTGGTTCATGTGGCTATAGGTTTTATTCAGAATCCCCTGGAAGGTGGCTAGTCGATATCAATCTACGGCGGTTCAGCTTGTCCACCAAAGACTCCCGAATTCAGTCCATAGCCACATCATGGTCAGACAGAGGACACATGCCTAGGAAAGTCATTCGCCTCGCCCCAAATATCTGGATCTCCGCAAAAACTTGCGGCCCGCGCCTCAGCGACCTCCACCCCCGCCTTTGCATTGGCGAGGGCCTTGCGCGAGGAAAATCCGCCGGTAAACCACCATATGGATGCCTTTTCAACAGTTCTCTTTTCGACGGGAACCCAAGGCGCAGGCGTCTGGCCCCAAAGTTTTTCCGAAACCCACAGTCTACGGACGAGCCTTACCAATTTCTTTCATCTGAACCAATCACTCAATCACCAACGCCAAGAGACAACTGCTAAGCTTTCTTGGGCAATAGTTGTGGAGTAAGAAAGTGTCCATCGCAAAACCAACAAGTCGTACCTTCTCTCAAATGGAAAAGTCTTGGATCCTCCTGTGGACTGCCATGTGTGTTGGAAGAGGGCCATTGGAAACATATTTTCCGGTCGGGCAATAACCGCAAAAAGCAGCTAGCTCATCTGCTTTCAAAGGGCAACTATCGAACGCCACGCCGCGGGTCGCCAGTAGAAACCTCGAACAATTGGCGGAAACCTTCCCGCCCGGTTTCCCTCCAAGGCCAACCAGAAGAGAGGACGCCTGCCTTCAGACACCCGCTCCTCGAAACGAGGTTTGGGCGGGGAACCGCTAAAGAAGGACAAAGACGACAAGCAAACTTAGCGCCAGCGACCGCGCCAAGAGGAAGTTCATTTCTGGCCTCCTTCGCCTTCGGCAGGTCTCCCTCCACCTCCTTTGCCTTCCTGCAGAGCCATTCGCTCGGAGGATGACGAGGTCGGACCTCGGAGGATGACGAGTCGAAGTGCCCGAGGCAGCGGATCGCTGAAGTTGTGCTTTTTGAGGGAGAGTTGCTGTTGAACTCCTAAAGTGGGGGCACCCCGCATTCATATTCACCTGGAATCATCCGTGCTTCCCAAGGTTTAGGCCGACATTTAGGCGCTGCCGGCATGCACTTGCATGTGTCTTGGGGAAAAATGTGCTCCTTTTGTTGTTGGAGTTGCCACCAGAGTGGAATTGTTGTTGAAAGGCAGCCAAGACAATGGCTGTCTTTCCCCGATCCGCTGAAACATCAGGAACAAATGAAGGAACAGCCCGAAGACCGAGACTCTCATCTCGCCCTCCGCGCCTTGTCAGGAGGGTTCTTCTCAAGCTCCTGTCAGAAGGCGCTTCTACCCTTTATGGGTGCATCTGCACTTGTATTTGCACGCGTCTTGTACAGGCATTTCCCAAACTGACCAACGAACAAATAGCAAGCAAACACAAAGAAGGACGTGTAATTGCACGCTCTTGATGCCAAGGTAAGTTGATCGGCACACAAAGGCGAGTCAATCTTTACCAGTTTCCGAACACGTGACGCATAGACAAACAAACAGAAATTGGCGACCAGCATGCCCCGTCCGTACGGAAACGCGGCGTCGATTCGCCATGTTGATCTGCGCACTATGGACTTCGAAGAGCTGTTGGTTGGTGTGTCTATCAGACACGACGAGCGCTGCAAGGCATGGCAAACCTTCGGGTTGATGCTGAAGGGAAACTAACGGAAACCAGCCCTCGAAACGGGGCCTAATCCATTCTGCGAAACCCCCTCAATATGGATCTTAAAGAGGGTCACAGCGGGCGGCAAAAAAACTGCGAGGCCTTCCTGGGTCACCAGGACAACACAACAAGGGATGTCAAAACCAGCCATGGGTTTGCGCCAAACTATCCATTTGAACGGCACAAAGCCACCACTGCACAGCAATGAAGGAACTCATCGTATGTACCATTGTTGTTGCTCCTGCTATGCGATGATTGACGCTTGCAACAATAACGGAAGAAGCCAGAGCCTCCCGACCATGTGGCGAATGCTTGAACCCAAGCCCAAATTAACCGTGGAAGGCATAAACTCTGCCAATCGCTGAATCAAGCAGCAGTCTCAAAGTACAAGCAACAGAGGCAAAGAAGGGACACCGTTGCCTGTCGGCCATGACACTTGGCGAGCTAGATAGGTGGCCAGCACAATGGCAAATCGATTTGCTCTGAAAAGCGAACAAAGAAAGGGGCAAGTTATCGCTGCAACCGCTTTCACACCTGCCCCGAACAAGGGCGACACCTCCTCCCGCCTCATAAGCCTCGTAGATCTCGAGGAACTTCGCCTTTGCCTCTGCGAGTCCCGTGTCAGAGTTGGTTTGGAGAGGCAAGTCCCGTGGAGCCGCCCCCGATTTTCAAGGAACCCAAGCGCGGGGAAATATCATAGAGCATGATAATCCAACGAAGCGATCGCCAAGGCCATCTAATCTCGAGTTGACACTCTCTAAAAAGAAACTGCTTGGGGCACTTGGAGTGGAACAACGGCTACAAGGGTGAATTTCTGAACTGCCATATTTACAATAATTCCAAACACTGGTTTCAGAGACCCCCTGGTTCTTACCCCTTTACGTAGTGAGCTCGTTTAACCCCCCCAGCCCCCCAGTGAGCTCGTTAAAAATTACGCAATGAATGCCGTCTGGGTCTGCTTTTGGGTGAAGCAGGTTTTGGTAGAAATGTCTGACCCTGGTCAGGCATGACAATGATCTCGAGGGCAGCCTCGCCTTAAATGAGGCACCATGGCAACGCGCCGTTTTCCCCAACGGATGCGTGGAGTTGCGTGAGCTACCCTAGAAACTCAGTGCGTCCTCCATGTCCCTCCACAATCAACAGACTTCTTCGGCTAGCACTTAGCACTATGTTTGACGCCAGAAAATGCACCGCGCCGTTGCTCGAAGCTTCTGTTGCGTAAGCCACCAAGGTATTTACTTCATCTCTTACCGGTAAAGCATGCTTTCCTGCGTTTTTTCCTGTTTACAACACGCACAAGAAGCCAATGATTTTGTCTGATGCCAGATGGGGCAAAGGCGCTCAGGCACCTGGAGAAAACCCTACCCCCTCCGCCGGGCAGCCACGCCGCTGCCACCTCCTGGGCCATAAGTGATCAGTGCCAGCTTCGCCCAAAGACTCTTGCAAGCAGCTGCGTTGGATTTCCGTAATCTTGAAGGTTTTCACTTTGGCCCTCGCTAAGCCTGCAGCAGGGCTGTTTTTTGTTTGGGGGTGGACTAGGGTGTGTTCCCGACATCTTTCAAGTCAGCCACAAACTTTGAAAAAAGATCACATGGCAATCTTGCTTCCTAGCTTGCAATATTTAGGAACCCACCTCACCTTATAGACCTGAGAGGTATTCGCTTTGGTCTTCTTTGGCTGCGGCAAGGTTGCGACTTCTTGTGGAGATGAGTTTGGTTTGCCAAGGGAGGTAAAGACGGATTCAAGTGCTCCCAGATTCGGGTGTGGTCGGGGTGCCCCAACCCTGCCTTTCTGAAAGCAGCCATGGAGATCTTGACTCTGTATCCAAGTAGCTCCTCACCTCAACAAGGTCTGTTTACTTTTGGTTTCCCCTTCCAACCAACACTGAAAAGGGGTGGACCTGAAGGAGTTTAAGTGGAAACTGCGCCCAAAAGATTATCATCTGACTGGATGTTGCCCACGGGCATCTACCCAAAGTGTGCCCACCCAAAGGGGGTCACTTCACTGTTTGACATCAGAGACAAGCGCGGTTTCTCGCTGCGCTCAACTACTAAATTGCGCGCACTATCCTGATTGAATGAAGCTCCTACCCCTTTGTGTTCCACCCTCGAGCTCCGCCAACGGCATGATAATCGAGTTCACGGAAGCCATTGAAATTAAGGCGAAAAACACTGAGATCCTGTCAGCACAAGAGCCTGCGTGGCAGCAGGTCAAACATGTGGTTCCCTGTACTCTTTGTTCTCAGTAGGGCCCAGTAGGGCAAGGGAAATATTCACCACAACTACAAAAAATGTAAGCTGAAAACTCCTTGCCCACAGTCCGCTCCTTGGGGCAACTCGAAAACCCATGTTTGCTTCTGCAAAGGCACATTCCCCGAAGAAGCTGTAGGAACACTAACTAGACCCGCGGTGTCTGGACTCTAAACGAACAAACGGGGAAGGCGCACTCCATCACATCTACTTCCACGTCAGAGCCTTATGGCTGTTCTTAGTGGGTTCAGGCCAGGGCCATTCTTAGTCACGTTTTCTCTTCTAATACCAGTTTTGCCGTGTTTTTGTTTTTCCCGCGGAGCAGGCTTGCAGAAAGGATGGCAGAGGGAAGCGCTTCATTGATACCGCTGGTTGTCATCTCCATGTTGCTGTGGGCCATCAGGTCTTAGAGCATGGCTTCCTCCCTTGTCGCAAGGGGGACACGCTCCAGCAGCCCCACAGCTCTCCCCTCACTGGGCTTCGCGCCCCAAGGACTGCGCAAGCACTGCGGCCTCAGAAAGGCAGCAGAAGGTGAGAAGCTGGGGTCCTTTAAAACATGGTCCTCAGAAAATGAGTCAGGAGTCTTCACTGAAGGGTTGTGATAGCCCAACAGGGAGCTCTTTCCTTTCTGAGGGGCTGCCCAATGTCAGGAAGGCACCAAGCAACCAAATAGACCAACCGCACCCCGCAGCCGGAAGGCAAAAGCCGGCACTATGGATGCGGCAAGGAGGAGCCAGATGGAACCCACTCCTTGTGTTGCGTTTAGCCTTAAAATTGCCTAGGTTCAGTATGTGGGCAGAAAGGGCCCCCGGCATTTCTACGGCTTCTCTTTGTTTGCAAGGGCTCTAAAAGCACCTCGAAAACCTCTTTCTCTCTTTGCCAGAGGCGCTGCGTTGGGTCGCCGACTTGGGGGCTTTCACCGTCATGGATTTTGGAAAAATACCTTTAAAGAGCATTTAGTGGGGAGAAGTGAAGCTGCTAAAGGCGGACATCAGCGGGGGGCCCTTTGCGGACATGGTGGGACAGTTCAGAGCTCATGTCCACAAAACAACTTTCAGAAGGCTCCTTACTCAATGTCATACCCAAATTAGACCCTGCAAGCCCGCTGACTCTCCCACAGCCGGTGCACTAGGCCCCGTACCTCCCCACCTCGACATCGCACCTGCGCGCAGTGTCGACACTACATGCTGAAGTTGGCAGGGCGGGCTCTGGAAGAGATGTCGATGGAAAGGCCTGTCCGGTTGTGACTTGCTCTTGTAATAGATGGGGCTCTAGCAAATGAGACCCACGGGTTCAAACCTCTGCCTGTCAAACCAACCAACCGAAAAGCGAAAAGCCCGCTGCGCCCTTTCGTAGAGACGCCGTGAGAACCTCTTTCAAGAGCTCTACAGATGGCCACAAAAAGCCTGTCATTCACTTGCTCAAAGGACATGGAGAAAACAGGTGATCACCCCTTTGAACCCTACCAGTAGCTCAAGAAGGGGTACCGATGTGTGACGAAGAGACGCTTTGAGAAAGCGATCCTGCCATTGGACAGGAGGGAAAAAAACTGACACACAATGAGAAACCTTGTTTCAAAAAGGGGCCCAAAGCATTTTGAACCTTTCCAGACGTCAAAACGCAAGCTCCCTCCCCCCAGACCTCCCCGCCTCGGGCTCGCTGCGCACGAGCCCGCCGGTCGCCGCGGCCCCCCCGAAAAAAATGTGAAAGGAGTCCGGGCTGGGGTGTCGACTCTTGTAGTTCTTATCGATGTGTTATTTTCGCCATCCACATGTTTGAACTGTTTGTATTATGGGAGTGTCCTAAGCAAGCTTGATGAGCATGAACCCATGTAGCAACTAGGCGCAAGAAAAAGTTCACTGTAGAGGCCGGAATTCGGCAAACTGCTTGCTAATGCCTGCTTCTGTGGCCACATTGTCTGCGGAAAGGGCATAGGCACACGGTTGCTTCCCAACATGGCGTGTGCCGATTGCATCAAGGCAATTTGCGCTGGTGTTTCGAAGCAGGCTATAAACTGTTGCACATCCTCAAGACACACAGTGGTCAGTCTTGAAGAATTTCTGCTGCGATCCAGATCTGCGCGAATCGCACTAGCTGTGAGATTGTCAAAAACTACTTCTGCAGGGTCATACAAAAGCATGCTAGCTCGTGAAAGTCGACAGAGTCCCAAAATTCCACAAGCCGGGGCTGGGAGGGGGCCGCCGGATCAGGAAGAGAGGGCATCAGTTCAGGAGCTCTGGCCTTCAAAGAGGAATGCTTTGGCAAGCTGGGGAATGTGTGATTGTTGAAGCACATGTTGACAAGAAACTTGAGGGTTCCTCAACACATGGTTGTAATCAACCAGATCCATCAGCCCAGGGTTGACGCAGTGACAAGCTCGACTCGTCTCTGGGCAGCCCAAACCAAAACACGCACACATAACACACAACACACAACACACAACACAAACACACAGACATACACGTTTGTAATGGAACCAACGAAAACCAACCCCTAAAAGAGGCCCCCCCCCCCTGAGGCCCACTGCCGGGGTGCCTATCCCCGAAGGGGAACTGGTACCCTTGTGGTAGTTGAGGTCGTTGATGAGGTCCCTAGATCTCTTCCGGAGAGAGTCCAATATGCCAATATGTGGATGATTGGAGGATGGATTGTCCCTGGTGGATTGTCTTGTAGATAATCCTGTAAGCGGCACTGCAATGGCTCTTTTGTCTACACGCTCGGATGATCGTGATTCTGCAAAAGGGGCCTTGAGCCAAATGTTGCGGGAGATCAATGGTCTGAAAAACAGAACACAAAACAGACACAAATTTCTTTTGATCTCCAGCACAAAGTATGAAATACTATTGGCTTCATGGCCTTTGGCCGTAGCCTTGTTTTGTGCCGTAGCCATGTTTCTTGAAATATTACATTCATCCTATTTTCTGCGCGGATGAATTGTCTTGATCTGCAAAATGGAAAACAGTTTGTACAGATTCTCTGAGATACCTAGATGTACCAAAAGATGATGCACAACGCTATGTACATGCGGGACAAATGTGAAACTATTGATCTCTCACAGAATAGTCTTGTAGGCGGTGAGGATCAATCTGGTGGTCGTTCGTAGCGCTGAACGTATGAGTCTTCTCGGTCAATCGGATGGATGCCAAAGGTGGCCCTTCATTTGTACCACCGACGGCTGCTGTCGGATTGACTGCCATAGTCTCCATAATCATTCCAGGTCGAGTCGCCATAGTCCTTCCAACACCTTGGATTTCCCCACTGCTTGTTGTAATCCTTGGATGCTTGCGGGGTCCAGGATGGCTTCTGGTAGTACTCCTTGCTTCTCTCATAGTTACGCTTCTTGGCTGCAGATTTGCTGCGGATGTAAACCATGAGGGGACTGTGCGAGTCGGAATCCTGTGAGCCATTCATGAACATGTCGTTGTTCACGTGCTTGAAACGCTCTGCGGATGTGACCTGATAATCGAAGATAGCCTTTGCTGGATTGTTCCGCATGGCTTCCAGTTGTTCATCATTCATGGCGTTCATCTCCTCGTTCCGGAAAATCTGCTGGATGTTCGTCTTGCCCCATCCAAACACGAATGTCATCATCACATCTGGGAATGTTCGATCATACCCTGATCCGCATTTCATGTGCAGGTGATGACGGAGAATGGATTTGAGGGTGCACGAAGTCTCCATCGCATACTCCATTCTTTCCCCGAGGGGCAAGTTGCTGGTTTCATTCCATAGCTTCTGGTACGCCTTCATGAGGATGTTCATGAGACCGTTTGCCGGATTGAAAACCTGCTGGAGCTTGCTGTAGGTATTCGCAGACTTGTTGGCGTCTCCTGTGATCGTATCGCATTTGTACAATGTCACAAGCGGCATGATCTCCTTCCGAAAATCGTCCAGTGCTGCTCCATGGCTGATTGACGGATGGATGTGGAAAACTCCAATGGTAGCAAACGGGAGGTCTGCCCTTGTAACGTGGCGGTCGTCAAACTCGAGGAGTGACTTGTTGGATGATTTCGGGAGCATGCCTCGAAACTCATCATTCTGCTCGAGTTGGAGAACAATAATCTCTTTTCCTCGTCCGTGTCCTTGGACAATGGTGCGTGGTGGCAATCTCGATCCAATGTACCTTTTGGATTCGGTGAACATGGATGTTCCCGTGGTTGCCAAGCAGTCCGAGGTCGGAATTTCGTATTCGGGATCAGTGCAATTTTCCTCTGTGCCGAAGAAGCATCTGAACATTCCGAATGTTGTTCCCCAATTCTGACTCTTGGTGGAAATGTGCCTTGCCAGCAATTCCACTCTTGCGGATGGTCAGCCGCGGACAAAGCATGCGATTGGTCTGGATGACCATTGCTTGATCACAATGCCCTTGTATCCGAAATGGATGAACATCTTGATGAGATCTCTTGATTTCCCATCATTAGGACAGCAGAATGCGTCTGCTTCATTCAAGCATAAGATGTGCGCACTGTTCTGCATCATCATCTTCATGATTGGTCGATCCTGCATCGGCATGTTGTACACCTCCCTGTTACCAAGCTTTGGATTCCTCGTGAGGTTTCCGTGGTTCATGGTAAGTACGTTGAGCGTCAGGGATGAGGTGAACGCATGCGTCTTGAGATGGTCCTCAGGTGAGCGGTCGGTCGGCTTCATCAGCGATCCCAGGATATCAGCATATGCTCGGATGAGCTCTGGGTCGTCAGTTGACCTTAGCTTTTTCAATCCCAGCGGAAGCTTGATGGGATAGCCGGAAGATGGCTGTGCCTGCCGGTACTCGTCCATGGTGGGACATTCTCCTTGATGCTCGAAGTAGAATTCTTCTTCTCCGAGATTGACATCGGGATCGACATGTGCCAATGAGGCTCTCTCGCATTCTGTCAACGTAGGATGAGCTCTTCTTGGATCCTTGGTGTACTGGTCCAGAAAGCGGCGGAGGTTCTCCTTGGTGTCCGCGAGCTCGTCCTCGGCGTCCTTTTTGTTCATTTCTATTTCGAGGTAGATTTCCTTGAATTCTTCGACGAACTCGTCTAGGTTCTCGGTGTTGTGATACTCCATGGTGACCTTGGGCTTGACGGACCTCTCCCCGGAGGGTTCCATGGTCTCCTCTTCAGCTTCGTCCTGATCGGTGGAGTGCCGTCGCTTCTTGGTCTCTGAAGAAGTATCTTTGTCTCTGTTGTGCTGATTGGAACTCACATGATTGAAGAAGGCATCGGCGAATTCCCGGATCTTGGTGTCGTACATCTCACAATCTTCACGATCCAGTTGTTGCTCACCATGACGCTGCCATCAGAGTCAAATGCTGCAACAATATTCTTCGCCTCGATGGTCTTGTCTGTGATCGCTGTTCGCTCTTCTTGGAGTCGAATGCCATAGTCCTGGTCCTGGAGGAATGCAAAGATCAACAGTGCATCTCTTCCTGCTGGTACATGGGTTAGTGCAGCTTCTGACACGTCGTCATCAAGGATGACGTCGTCGATGCATGCCATGTGGACGTGCGTTCTCCCCGAAGGGTTTGACTGGGATTTCCCAGATTTGAGCCCGTTCTCCACGATGCTGAGGAGCTGATTTCCATAGGTTGCATGGAACATGAACGTGATGGGCTTCTTCGCGAACGGCTTGATCTTTCTCTCTTCTTCAATGGATGGAGGTGCCGGCCTTCGCATTCTGGACTTGGGCTGAGGAGCGCCTTCATCTTCATGAGGAACATCAGACCTCGACGGATGTGGACTTGGAGGAACAGATTCCGTTGGAAGATCATAGTCCGGTTCTTCGTGGTGAGGTGCTGTCTGCTGCTCAGAGTATAGGGGTCGTCCAAAGGATTGGATCTCGACTTGCCGTGTATGTCCGCTGTTGCATCTCACATAGAATTCCATTTCTGGATCATGACCGAAATCTTTGCCATCAGGCCGGAGTGCAATTTGTGCGGATCTTGTGTTGAGCTTGTCAATCCATCTGTTCCTTGGAACAATTTCTCCCCTTGCCTTGCGCTCTTTGTATGGCCCGTCCACGGATGGAAACACGAATGCAATTTCAAATCGTGATTTTCCATGATTCGGGAACATAGCCATCAAGAGAAGTCCTGGCTTGCTTCCCATGAAGTTCTTGACGTGTGAAATGCAGGTCAATGCGTCGTAGAGCTCGACGGATCCATCAGGACCCATGTCCACCTGTCGTTTGCATTCCCTAGGAGTTCCATGCCTTGGATCGTGACGAAGGCATGCGGAAAGCAATCTGCTCATTCTCTCAATTCGCCAGAGGATGAGGTCTGTGATCTGCTTCGCCTTGGATGGATCTATGTGGAAATATTTGCAAACCTGTTCGACATTCTGGACGGTTCTCTCGAGATCGATGTTACCGTTGTGGCATACCATCGGGATGATGTCGGTTCCGTAGGCTTCCTGTTGAGCATTGGTGTAGCAGCAGATACTGTAGACCTTCTTGATGAAGTCCATGTATGGTTTTTCTGCAGCGGTTCCTTCACCGTGGAACGTTGGATTCCAGTAATCGTTGAATCTTGCCTTCAACCAGAATACCTTCTCTCCATGCGCTCGTTGATGCTCAGGTTTGAAGTGGAAGTTCGGATGATCATCGAGGATGGTTGAGCACTCCTTGTAGTAGTCGTACACAAAGCTGAGGAACTTCGAGTTTCCGAATGGTCCTGCGTGCACGGATGACTTCTGGAGGCTGATGTCGGTATCGGATCCATATGTCACATACCAC